GTATTAGTGCTACGCAGCTAATGGCCCCGGTTTATTTCGGGGATCCGCTCCTGAAAGGTACGACAAATATCGAAACGACGTCACAGCAATTTTTCCCTTAATGGAATAAGGGGAGGGATCTTTTTACTGATATCCGTTTTTTTTCGTTGATGACAGTTATATTTAAATACGCAATAATAAAACAATTACCAGACTTAAATATAAAAAAATAACATTTTGGAGTTCGAATTGTTCTCGCCTTCGATACTGGGCTTGGCTTCGCTTCCTGGGTAGGAAGGTGGCGTTATGTGGCGGAGGATGTCGAGGCAGGAGCAGGATCGTGACATGGCATCGCATCTTCACAGGAGGTGGATGTGGAAGGCTTGGGAGAGGTAGTAGATTTGGTGGCTTCCGTCAGCGTCGCAGGTTTCGGCGAGCGAGGAGGGGTCTGTTTGGCTACCGTTGCGGTTGGAAGGAGCTTTGGCCTTCGTCTTCAAAAACGCGTCGAGAGTGCTTCGCTTTCTTCGCCCGAGTCTTGGCGCTAAACATTTCTTCGTGGCAAGAGATGCTGCCCGTGTAAACATCTTTGCTGCCTCTGCCGACCCGTCCCGTAGCCAATCGCCGTTCTCGACGATGTTGCACGCCGCTTCGATGAGGTCTTTGACGCCGAGCTCCCTGTCCGAAGCAGCAGAAGTAGCAGCGTTGTCGTTAGCGTCGTCTCCTTCTTGGGCCCGCTGCCCATCTTGCCGCGTCAAATCTTCGTCGGTGAGGATTTCGGCGTGCAACGCCAGCCACTCTTCCACAATCTCCTCATCGAGCTCGCTGAATCTGACATCCCTTGCCAGATGTACGATATCCCTCTGCACAGCTGCCGGATCCAAGCCGGTGAAGTCGTGAACGGCATCGGGAAAGATCTTCCTCCATGCACCGTTCATGCACTGCGTGGTGACTTCCAAGAATTCCCAATGATCGTTCATAATGTTGAAGCTCCTTCAGAGTGGGCTGCCGTCTTCTGGAAAAGATTCGTCATTGTCCTCCTGAGACCCCCTCAAATATGACGTCACAAAGCTCTGCTCCCCCCCCAAAAAAACATTTCCATTTTGAAAATAAAACATGCTTCAAATCGCTTTAAACTATTGTCATTGTAGTGCGTATTTAACGTGGCGCTGCACTCTGATGTTGTAGGAGTGTTGTTATAACAATTAGTGTCGTTATAACAATTATATATTATTTTCGTCTCCCCCCTCCTCTTCCGAACATAGATGGACTCGTCCATCTGAATAACTGACAAATCGCTCTCCATGGTGCTAACGTTAAAAACACCGCCACTTTTTCCAAATTTTCTTGCTGTGGTTTTCACACCTGATGATGATTGCTTGTGTTGCAGTCGAAACGTCGTGAGAATTGTATTGTTTTATATTTTTATTATTTTATTGTTTCCCTTCTACATGACTTTACCGAAAGAACCAAGAATATGAATCCCTGCAGTCACGAAAGCTTTAAATCAAAATTCTATATTCATTTAAAGTTGCGCATTTTAATGTGACGTCACATTTCTCACCCCCCCCCCCCCCCCTTGTCACACATCGTCACAAATGTCTGACCCCCCCCCCCCCACCCTAGGTGCGTGACATCATTTATGGACGGCCCCTTAATGCAGAATTTTGATGCCTTGCATGAAGTGAGGTGTTTGAACATCTTAACACCTGTTTTATTGCCAGAAAGGGTAAAACCTCGTCTTATCTTTCATACTTTGATACTGGAAAAAAATAGGTCCCATATTGTAGCTGCTCACTCCGTGTGAACACATTCCTGCGGAGGGAGCTGGTAGGGACGTTGGGTTGCTCGGTCAATGGCCAGGGTCAACGGCTGTGTGGTGCATTCCGCAAATATGCCCGACTGTGAGGGCGGGCACAAGCCGGCGTGAGTCGGTTAAACGTTGAGTTTTATAAGGGCACCACGGGGTGACCAGCCCCTCCCCACCCAGCCCCACCCCCTCCCCACCCAGCCCTACCCCTTCCACCCTCCCCACCCTCCCCTCCCCACCCAGCCCCTCCCCACCCTCCCCTCTCCACCCAGCCCCACCCTTCCCATTTTTGGATGCACGACGGACGGACGGACACAATAATCCCCTGTGAGCTGGTGTAACCAGGAGGTTCCTACCAGTATAAATGATCTTATAGTGCATTGTCTTTGCACTGTTCGCCTTTTGGCGTTCTGTGGTCCAACACTTGTAGTGAGCCTAGGCCATAAATAAGGCTGTCTCTGGTGTAGACTAATCAGTTTCACAATGCATATATTCATTCTAGATTTGCATATATTATCAGAGCATGTTGTGTTTGCATGTTCATCACAAGTGCGTGTGGTTAATGCAGTTGCTTCCTCGCAAAAAGGTTTTTTTATTGCCAGACAGGGTAAAACTAATTCTTCTTTTTTGGTTCTTTCGGTAAAGTCACGTAGGTATACAGTGAGGGAAAAAAGTATTTGATCCCCTGCTGATTTTGTACGTTTGCCCACTGACAAAGAAATGATCAGTCTATAATTTTAATGGTAGGTTTATTTGAACAGTGAGAGACAGAATAACAACAACAACAACAAAATCCAGATAAACGCATGTCAAAAATGTTATAAATTCATTTGCATTTTAATGAGGGAAATAAGTATTTGACCCCTCTGCAAAACATCACTTAGTACTTGGTGGCAAAATCCTTGTTGGCAATCACAGAGGTCAGACGTTTCTTGTAGTTGGCCACCAGGTTTGCACACATCTCATTAAGGAGTGGGATTTTGTCCCACTCCTCTTTTCAGATCTTCTCCAAGTCATTAAGGTTTCGAGGCTGACGTTTGGCAACTCGAACCTTCAGCTCCCTCCACAGATTTTCTATGGGATTAAGGTCTGGAGACTGGCTAGGCCACTCCAGGACCTTAATGTGCTTCTTCTTGAGCCACTCCTGTGTTGCCTTGGCCGTGTGTTTTGGGTCATTGTCATGCTGGAATACCCATCCACGACCCATTTTCAATGCCCTGGCTGAGGGAAGGAGGTTCTCACCCAAGATTTGACGGTACATGGCCCCGTCCATCGTCCCTTTGATGCAGTGAAGTTGTCCTGTCCCCTTAGCAGAAAAACACCCCCAAAGCATAATGTTTCCACTTCCATGTTTGACGGTGGGGATGGTGTTCTTGGGGTCATAGGCAGCATTCCTCCTCCTCCAAACACGGCGAGTTGAGTTGATGCCAAAGAGCTCCATTTTGGTCTCATCTGACCACAACACTTTCACCCAATTGTCTTCTGAATCATTCAGATGTTCATTGGCAAACTTCAGACGTGCATGTATACGTGCTTTCTTGAGCAGGGGGACCTTGCGGGCGCTGCAGGATTTCAGTCCTTCACGGCGTAGTGTGTTACCAATTGTTTTCTTGGTGACTATGGTCCCAGCTGCCTTGAGATCATTGACAAGATCCTCCCGTGTAGTTCTGGGCTGATTCCTCACCGTTCTCATGATCATTGCAACTCCACGAGGTGAGATCTTGCATGGAGACCCAGGCCGAGGGAGATTGACAGTTATTTTGTGTTTCTTCCATTTGCGAATAGTCGCACCAACTGTTGTCACCTTCTCACCAAGCTGCTTGGCAATGATCTTGTAGCCCATTCCAGCCTTGTGTAGGTCTACAATCTTGTCCCTGACATCCTTGGAGAGCTCTTTGGTCTTGGCCATGGTGGAGAGTTTGGAATCTGATTGATTGCTTCTGTGGACAGGTGTCTTTTATACAGGTCACAAGCTGAGATTAGGAGCACTCCCTTTAAGAGTGTGCTCCTAGTCTCAGCTCGTTACCTGTATAAAAGACACCTGGGAGCCAGAAATCTTTCTGATTGAGAGGGGGTCAAATACTTATTTCCCTCATTAAAATTCAAATCAATTTATACCATTTTTGACATGCGTTTTTCTGGATTTTCTTGTTGTTTTTCTGTCTCTCACTGTTCATATAAACCTACCATTAAAATTATAGACTGATCATTTCTTTGGCAGTGGGCAAACGTACAAAATCAGCAGGGGATCAAATACTTTTTTCCCTCACTGTAAAATAAATCACAAATTCATGAAATGAAATAAATCACAAATAAATCACAAATTTATCTTATTTTCTTTCGCTAAAGTCACGTAGGTATAAAATAAAATAAATCACAATTTTATTTTATACCTACGTGACTTTACCATACTCTTTAGTTCTTTCGGTAAAGTCACGTAGGTATAAAATAAATCACAATTTTAACCAGAGTATAAATTCCTGCATTCACGAAAGCTTCAAATCAACATTAATTCTTATTTTCTTCCAGTGACCTCTGTCTTTGTAACAGACAGAAGCAACTCGAGGCTGTAACCTCTGTCTCGGTGCCATGATGCTTCAGTAACCCGAGGCTGTGTGAAAACAGCGACCTCTGTTTCAGTGACCTCTGTCTTCGTAACAGACAGAAGCAACTCGAGGCGGTAACCTCTGTCTCGGTGCCATGATGCTTCAGTGACCCGAGGCTGTGTGAAAACAGCGACCTCTGTTTCAGAGACGAGAGGAGCGGTGGTGCAGCGGTTAGCGGCCTCGCCAGGTTCGATTCCCGCACACGGTCAGCAACACACGAGTGACGATTATCCGAACTGGTCCTGGGCCTCCCCTAGGTCGACTCAGCCTCAAATTGAGTAGCCGATGCGGCGTCTAATCATCGCCGCTACTTAAAAAATGTTTTTATTAAATTGTCTTTGCATTTTATTTTAGTGATACGTTTGAAATAAATTCGGTTTACTCGGGGAGACAAAGACAGCCGGGCGTGGTGCTGGCCGCCCACCCCTTCCGTGTGCCGTTCCGGCATTCAAGAGGCGCTGCTCGCTAAACAGCACTTGCCCCAAAAGTCCGCCACAGACTTACATTACAACAACACCACCACCGGTTGGGGTCTTTTGTCTTTGGTGGCTGTCAGTTGTGAAAACAGCGACCTCTGTATCCCGGTGGGGGGGGGGGTGTTGTAACAGACAGAAGGAACTAAAGAGACATTGCAACGTCACGCGATTTCCCGACAGCCCCCGCGCGCCTCACTTTTAAAATCGCCGAGTTCGTTACCCCGCCAACATCGCAGCAGCAGCAGCGGTGGCGCTGTTACAACTACAACCTCAGGGTTACAACTACAACAAGCGGCGCTGTTACGGACTACAAACCTCAGGGTCACAACTACAGCAAGCGGCGTTACAACTTCTTCCTTAGCCGTCAACATTCTCGAGCAGCCAACTGAAGGTTCGTGCCCGCGTCGCCGACTTGAACACGGCCCACGACTTCCCGCCACTCGCAGTACACACACACACACGGCACACACGCACGGTGAAGATTCACAAGCAACACACTCGCAACACGCGGGGGGGTTGGTTGTTGTTGCCGCAAGGTTGTGTTGTTGTTTCCACACGCACCGTTTTGCTACGGACGTTATTCACGCAAATCGCCGAACTCGCCACGTTTGTAGCCTGTAGCAGTACTCGTGTGGGCAAGCGGTGTTAGCGAGCAGCGACACATGAAGGGGCTTGCCACGGCAGACGAAGGGGGGTGGGTGACCGACCAGGCCACCAGGCACGGCCGCCTTTGTATCCCCAGTGGCGATGTTTACACGGCGTCGTAACCGGGTTCCTTCATTTGGTGCAGGGATCGAACCGCGGGAGCTGCGGGTTCGTAAGCGCAGCGCGCTCGCCATTCGGACGCGGCGTTCACACATTACACACACAGTATTCACACTTCACACATTACACACACAGTATTCACACATTACACACACAGTATTCACACACCACACAGTATTCACACATTACACACACAGTATTCACACTTCACACGTTACACACAGTATTCACACATTACACACACACAGTATTCACACATTACACACACAGTATTCACACATTACACACAGTATTCACAAACTACACAAACAGTATTCACACTTCACACACTACACACACAGTAGTCATACACTACACACAGTATTCACACACTACACACGCAGTCGTCATACACTACACACACAGTATTCACACTTGACACACTACACACACAGTAGTCGCACTACACACACAGTATTCACACTTGACACACACAGTACTCACACACTACACACACAGTATTCACACTACACACACAGTATTCACACTACACACACAGTATTCACACACTACACACACAGTATTCACACACTACACACACAGTATTCACACTACACACGCAGTCGTCATACACTACACACACAGTATTCACACTTGACACACTACACACACAGTAGTCGCACTACACACACAGTATTCACACACTGCACACGCAGTATTCACACATTACACACACAGTAGTCACACACTACACACACAGTATTCACACTACACACACAGTATTCACATTACACACACAGTATTCACATTACACACACAGTATTCACACTTGATACACTACACACACAGTATTCACACACTACACACACAGTAGTCACACACTACACACACAGTATTCACACTTGATACACTACACACACAGTAGTCACACTACACACACAGTATTCACAGACTACATACACAGTATTCACACAGTATTCACACACTACACACAGTATTCACACAGTATTCACACACTACACACAGTATTCACACAGTATTCACACACTACACACAGTATTCACACATTTTTGATTTAAAGCTTTCGTGACTGCAGTGATTCATATTCTTGGTTCTTTCGGTAAAGTCACGTTGAAGGAAAATAATAAAATATATTTAAAACAATAAAATTCTCACGACGTTTCGACATGTATCACAAACGGTCATCATCAGGTGTGAAAATCTAACGGCAAGAAACATTTGAAAGAAGTGGCGGTATTTATTTTTAAACGGTGTTTGTATTTGTTTTTTAAAAACGTTAGCACTACGGATAGCGATTTGACATTTTGTTTAGGACGAGTCCATCTATGTTCGGAAAAGAGGAGGGGGGAGACGAAAAATTAATGTATGCTGTCTGAAAGCCACCGTAAGCGTGAACAATCATTTAAGACCCGAAATGGTTTATCAAATCCTTCCAATGATTGCTAAGCCAGAATCCATCTTCTCGGTTGAAATGCCTCTGTGCTTGTGTATGTGATTAGCCTCATGAACGAATCTTTCATGGTAGCCAGATGTCTTACAAAGAACCTCTGTCTTGGAGAAGTCAATGTCATGTGAACCTACTGAATTATAACAGTGATCCGCCATGGCCGAGGTGTTGGTCCTACCATGCTTAAGGTCTGCTTTGTGTTCACGAATGCGGTCCGAGACATGTCGTTTGGTTTCTCCAATGTAACTACTACCACAGAGGCAACTTAGTTTGTAGACACCAGGGTACTGTATGTCCGGAATCACATCTTTTTACAGACGGAACCAGATCACGGATTTTATGTAATGTGTTGAAACGGACCTGGATCTTGTGTTTATTCAAGATTTTGGAGATCTTTTTTGTGATCCCCGCAATGTAAGGTAAAGTGGTGGTTTTGAAAGGCTCCTCAAGAGGGTCCTTCTTCATGGTTTGAGTGATAGCTTTGCGGATTGTATAGTCAGAGTAACCATTAGCCTTAAGAGCTTGGTGTACGTGCTTGAGTTCACTGCCTACGTGTTCCTGGTCGGATATGCATTGGGCTCTATGGTGCAGAGTCTTGATGACGGAGTTCTTCTGGGGTGGATGGTGGTGGGAATCCGGTTTCAAGTAAGCATCCGGTATGGGTAGCTTTCCTGTAGGCAGAGTGGCTCATTGAACCATCAGGTCTCCTTTTAATTAGGACATCCAAAAAGGGTAGCTTGCCATCTTTTTCGACCTCCATGTTGAATCTGATGGCTGGGTGTATGGAATTGATGTGGTCGAGGAATTGGTCTCATGGTGGCTTTCAGACAGCATACATTAATTTTTAGTCTCCCCCCCTCCTCTTTTTCACACCTGATGATGACTGTTTGTGTTACAGTCGAAACGTCGTGAGAATTTTTATTGTTTTATATATTATTATTTTATTGTTTCCCTTCAACGTGACTTTACCAAAAGAACCAAGAATATAGTATTCACACAATTACACACGCACAGTATTCGCACAATTACACACGCACAGTGTTCGCACAATACACACACAGTAACCGCACGATACACACACAGCATTCGCACATTACACACACAGCATTCGCACATTACACACACAGTACGCGCACATTACACACACAGTATTCCACAAGGAAACACCGCCAATACGCGCGTGTGCCCTGTGCCAGGAGGACGCCTCGAGTCGCCGTCACAATGTCCAAGTCTCTGGGACGTCGCAACTCCACGCTGCCACAGAGGGTGAAGGCAGACGGCAGCCTCAAGAGCCTGGCCACTCCGCAGAGGTGAGGCACCACCCCCCCCCCCCCCCCCCCCCCCCCTCATGACTCCAGCCGTGATGCCCCTGCCACCTCCAATGCCTGGCCTACAGCTTTTCTTCTTTCTCCACCCCCAATGCCTGGCTCACAGCTTTTCTCCTTTCTCCACCTCCAGTGTCTCAGTGTCTGTGTTGTGAGAGGCTCGTCGTATGAAATGTATTTTACTGTGTTATGTTTTATCTGCGCTGTCGGCCTGTGGAAGTCTTCCTTGGTTCTGCTGGTTCAGCAGGTGTGCACGATGCTACATGCGATTGTCTCTGTGGGTCTGGTTGTTTGTGTTGGCAGTGTGCGCAAGAGTCGCCAAATGCCTCTTGGGAACTCGGCCGCTTCGAACCAAAAAATCAGCTTCTTTGGGAACAGGTAATGCGACACGATATGACACCAAGACAATAAGATGACACCGTGACATGACATGGCACGAGAAGACAACGTGACATGACACAATCGCACGACATTACAAGAGATGAAACGATGACACAACATTGCACGTGATTACATATTGACTTGGTGCACGTATGCATGTTGAACTTCTTTCGCACCGTACGTAGCCAATCGTGCTAATCGGAGATTACGTGTTCAATTCTGTGACGCTGTTGCATGATGTGACGCGTGATGGCATGTGGCATGAGATTATGTGATGAGCAGATTTTTTCTTCCAAATTGTGATCTCTGCCCTGGATGAACTGAGTTTTCCAAGAGCAGTATCCGGAGTGAACTGCACGAGTACACAACGGTTTAATTTGGGCGTAGGATGTAGAGCTACCCGACACATTCGCTCATTATTGCACACACCCACTTATCTCAAACGCCAGGTTGTGAGCTGATGCGGGCAGCCAGTGGCTTACTTGCGGTGTCATTTCTAAATCGGCGTTTTACCTTGCAGCAGGTCCTTGCTTAACGCGGGGGTTGCATTCCTGAAAATTTCTGCATAAAGCGAAGTATCATTCAGCAGGAGTAATTTTCCCAAAGAAATTATGGTAAAGGTGGGCGTGCCGTTGCAGGCCGCAATTTGATTATCATTTTTATATGTACGTATATATGTTAAACTTATTTCGCACCATATGTAGCCAAACCGTGCTAATCGGAGGTGCTGGGGAAGGACAACAAACTGAACACAAAAAGCAGTTCTAAATAAATTAGTTTACAATCTAGATTTCAAAGTACAGTAACACCTTGGATTGCGAGTAACTTGGTCTGCGAGTGTTTTGCAGGACGAGAAAAAAAATTAAATAAATATTAATTTGATAAACGAGCGCGGTCTTGCAATACGAGTAGTACGTATACGCTTTGTCTACCGAGCGTCACGTGATCACAACTTTAATTTTCGATTTAAAGCTTTTGTGACTGCAGGGATTCATCTTCTTGGTTGTTTCGGTAAAGTCACATGACTTTACCGAAAGAACCAAGAAGGTGATCACAACTGATATACGAGTGCTTTGGATTACAAACACGTTTCCGGAACGAATTATGCTCGCAATCCAAGGTTTTTTATATATATATAGCTCCAGTGGCTTCCTAATATCGGAAGGAAGAGTGTTCCAGCCATCCGCAGAAGTGCATATGAAAGCACTCTATACAATGACCGTCTTTCTTCGATGGTTAGCCAAAAGCCGCTGTTAAGATAACCGGCGTTTGCGTAAATGGTTTATTCTCCTTGACGAGAGGTGGCATCAAGCGGCGTTGTTATGGCCAGTCTACTCGCGTGTACGCGTGAGTTTGCGTGCCCATGTCTCTTTCTTTTTTTCCCCATTTGTCGCTCTCTCTCCTGTTGTTCCTGCACTTGTCGTTTCTCTCTCTCTGTGCATGTCCCTTCAATTCCTGTTTGATAAAATTTTGATATTTGGCTTTGTATTGAATGATATAAAAGCGTCACGTCATTTCAACATTGACCGACACGTAAGATGATATGTACATGAAGAGTGTCATAGCGTAACCTACGATATTAACATGATATGACGCCTCAGGATAGCATGAGCTGTTACAACATTCCACCATAGCACGAGGTGGCGTGTGTTTTGTATGCCCATGCCTGTCTTTTTTCTCTCTTTGTCTCTCTCTCCCCTTGTTCCTGCGTTTCTCTTACCTCTCTCCGTGCGTGTTCCTTTCAATTCCCATGTGTTCCTGTGTCTCCCACGTGTCTCCCTCGATGTCGCTGTCCGTCCCTGCGTCTCCGAGTTTCCCGTCTGTTCCTCCGTGCGACCTTCGTGTCTCGCGTCTCAACTTGTTTCGCCGCAATCCCCGATGCGCATCCTTGCATCTCTCCCCACGCACCCCCCCCCCCACTCCTTGTGCGTTTCTCCTCCCCTTGCCTTCCCACACATCTCAGTGTGACCCGCCACTCGAGTCAATATGGAGCAGCTGGGGGATCTGAGAAGGTCAAGGACACACGCCCGCTCCATGACAAGGGCTTCCAGCAGAGGACGGTGAAGAGTCTGTGCGAGGTGAGGTTTGGGAGAGGGGGGAGGGAACGGAGAGATTGAGGAGGAGGAGGAGGAGATGTGGCAGAGAGGCAGACTGTTAAAGACGGAGAGACTGGGGAAGGGAAACGTGGAGGAGAATGAGAAAGGGCAGAGGGATTGAGGTAGGGAGAGGCCCTGAGAGAGCAAGGGAGGATTTGTAACGCGACAAACACATTCAGGTACTATTTTATTTTTGGAACGGAAACGGGCATCAACCGCAGGGCTGTGTGAATCTCCTTCGACCCCTGTCTGGCAGCCTCCTGCTCGATGTGCCACATTACCTATTTTGAGCTCCCCAGCATGCACCGAGCCCGTTTTGCAACATGACCAACTCCCACAAAGCACTGCACAACGTGATGTAGCTGTAGTACCAGAGCGATGGCATTGGCCGCAGTGTGGATGGCCACTGTGTGGAGGGCAGAGAGGGCTGTGGCCCAGTTGTGGGTCCGTGGTAGGGCCACACTGATGCCTATGTGACCAAATGCAATGCAGTAACAGCGTGTGGAAGGCTGTGGGGTCCCACATGTCAAATTAGGGACCCTTATCTCAACCAGGGTATTAACTTTGACAAGGTAATCCACGTGTGCCGGTCGTACCGTAGTATTGTCACTAGAGGGCACTATAATGCTGCTTCTAAATGCAGATTATTTTGAATTCAGGATTATTTTTCTCATCAATAAAGCATGAATGTCAGTCTAGGTATGTATCGACTGAGATTGTAACAAAAAAAAATCCTTGCCACATGAACTAAAAGTGTGTGCCCGCGCGTGTGTACTTGTGCCCGCGTGTGTGTACGTGTGCTTAGTTCTTGAGCGAGCATGATTGCCCTCTGGTCGTGAGCCCCCGTGAGCTGCAGGCTCCGTCCACGAAGCTCTACCTGCGCATCTTTGAGTTCATGTGCAGGTTCCTGGACCCTGACTACAGCCTCCCCAGCAGTAAGGTCGACGAGGAGGTGCCTCGTCTCTTCAAAGAATTCGGGTGAGGGGGAAGGCACACACGTGTGTGTGCGTGCGTGCACGTCTATGCCTGTCTGCCAGCGCACGTTCCTCTGCATGCCATGTGTGTGTGCATGTGTCTTTGTCCCACCGTATGCAACGGTTGACGCCCTGCGCTGCGAATTCGGCATCTCGAGTTCGATTCCCGCTCACGGCCAACGCCAGTGACGATTATCTGAATCGGTTCTGGGCCTCCCCTATGTCGACTCGGCCTTAAATGAGTACCTGGTGCGGTGTGTAATCATCGCCACTAGAGATACAAAGGCGGCTCGACGTGGTGCTGGCCACCCACCCCTTCGCGTGCCGTGCCAGCCTTCATTGATGGTCCCTAACAGCACTTGCCCCACAAGTCTGTTAAGGATATCCAGGGGATCCTTATCTTTAGTGCTGTGTTGTGTGAAAACAGGGGCCTCTGCCTCAGGGATAGACAGGAGTGACTCGTTTGAAGTAAATTTTGCTTGATTAGGTAAAAACTGATCAAAACGAGTCTCATTTGCAATTGCAAAAGCAAAATTACAAAAGGAAAACAAATACTTTGTTCTGTCTGCAGGTACCCATTCACGCTGTCTAAAAGCGCCATGTACACAGTGGGGGCACCACACACGTGGCCTCACATCCTCGGTGCCACCCTGTGGCTCATGGAGCACATCAAGGTGTGCACGCACGCTACACACACTATACACACACGCTATATACACACACGCTATATACACCCACACACACTATACACACACACGATATATACACACACACTATACACACACACACTATACACACACACGAAATATATACACACACACGCTATATACACCCACATACACTGTACACACACGCGCTATATATACACACACGCGCTATATATACACACACGCGCTATGCACACACACACACTATACACCCACACACTATACACCCACACACGCGCTATACACACACGCGCTATACACCCACGCACGCTATACACCCACGCACGCTATACCCCCACACACACGCGCTATACACCCACACACACGCGCTATACACCCACACACGCTATATACACACACGCGCGCGCTATACACCCACGCACGCTATACACCCACGCACACGCGCTATACACCCACGCACGCTATACACCCACGTGCACGCGCTATACACCCACACACACGCGCTATACACACACGCTATATATACACCCACACGCGTGCGCTATACACCCACGCACGCTATACACCCACGCACACGCGCTATACACCCACGCACGCTATACACCCACACACGCACGCTATCCAAGCACGCTATACACCCACGCACGCTATACACCCACACACACGCGCTATACACCCACACACACGCGCTATACACACACACGCTATATATACACCCACACGCGTGCGCTATACACCCACGCACGCTATACACCCACGCACGCTATACGCACACGCGCTATACACCCACGCACGCTATACACCCACGTGCACGCGCTATACACCCACACACACACGCTATACACCCACACACACACGCTATACACACACGCTATATATACACCCACACGCGTGCGCTATACACCCACGCACGCTATACACCCACGCACACGCGCTATACACCCACGCACGCTATACACCCACGCACGCTATACAAGCACGCTATACACCCACGCACGCTATACACCCACGCGCACGCGCTATACACCCACACACACGCGCTATACACACACGCTATATATACACCCACACGCGTGCGCTATACACCCACGCACGCTATACACCCACACACGCGCGCTATACACCCACGCACGCTATACACCCACACACGCACGCTATACAAGCACGCTATACACCCACACACGCACGCTATGCAAGCACGCTATACACCCACGCACGCTATACACCCACACACACGCGCTATACACCCACACACACGCGCTATACACCCACACATGCTATACACACACACGCACACGTGTGCGCGTGTGACCCTGGGGATCAAATCCACGTTTCAGCCGTTCACTGCTTAAACCAGGGTGTCACGTGTTGCAATTTGGAAGGTTTCAATCTGGTGACCAATGACTTGCACAAGAAAACCATACTGTTAAGTTGTATTTCACTTAGTTTAGTACCTTTTTGTGTTTATTTTGTTGTCCTTCCCCCGTACCTCCGATGAGCAGTTTTCTGCGTGCAGTGTGAAAGAAGTTCAACAGACATATATATATATATAAAGCACTGTAGAAACGAACTTAAAAAATGTCACGTGACATTTGCCGGGCGGTGGTGGCGGCGCACGCCTGGAATCCAGCACTGTGGGAGGCGGTGAGGATTGGTGGATCCCGCAGGCGTCGAGGTGTCATACCCTGGATTGCCAGGCGGAAGGCAATAAAGCAAAAATGTGGGCTCCACCTGTTTCTTCTATAAGGGGGACCCCCCCCACCCCGCACTTGTGGGTTTTCTCTGCGTACTCCATTTTCTTCTTCCCATGTGTAATTGGCCAATACCATCTGCATATATAGAGGACCGCAGAGCTTGCGCAGATCTTGCTGCGATGTGTAAACGTCATCACAAGGGAGACAAAGGCGGCCAGGCGTGGTGCTGGCCACGTATCCACCACGTGTGCCGTGTTGGCCGTCGTAGACGCGCGCCGGCGGCACTTGCCCCAACGGTCCGTTAAGGCTATACGGGGGGGGGGGGCTTTGTCTTTGTGTGGCTGTATGTAGGGGTGTGTGCACGCTTAATGTTTCCTTTGACCTGCAGATGACGATGGCAGTGTCGCAGTCGATATCTCTGTTTCCGCCCATTTTAATTGCGAATGAAGAAGAGAAGATCGCTTACATGGAGAGGAAGGTAAGCGGGCACCCTCGCTTTCGATGGCACGCGAGGACTGCATCCGTACGTCTCGCTCTTGCCTCCGGGTTTTTTGTCAGTCTCCCCGCGGACAACGACAACAAATGAACGCTGGTCGTATTACCCTCCCGTGTCTCCATCGAGAGAAGCGACAGAGCATCGATTGCTCCATTTCACCGTGAAGCGGTGCCATTTTAGCGTCTTTAACATGGTCATAATTCGGGGCTCTTTTCCTGCCCGGGTTTGTGGGGGGAGATTATATATATATTTTAAAAGCAGGGTTGGGCTTTAAAAGAATCGGAATCTTTATAATGGAGGAATTCGATGAACTAGAAAGCTCTTCTTCCCGCAGATGTCCAGTTGGGGCAAGTCGGATAGTTACAACGAACAAGATGGAAACACGATAGGTGCGCGAAATCATGAATTTATATATCTGTTTATTTTACCAGGTAAAGACCGCTGAACTATTAGCTGCTTTATCAGAAGTGACTTGGCCACAAATGATGGCTCAACGAAGTGGCTTATCACGTGAAAATATATAGCGGCCAAAATATTTAATTAATCAAAAGACGAGTGCACCCGGTCATCGAAGAATGTGGTTAATGGAACAAAACCTGTAACGTATAGGTCAATTGGGCAAATGTGTCTTCCTAAACCAGTGGTTTCCTATCATATATATTCAAGTGGGAGAGTTCCCTAGACAGGCTCGAGACTTTTTAGCAGTTTGCTGCTGCATATTCTGGTGTTACGGGCAAGGGTCATCGTGTACAGCAGTATTGTTCAAACTCATTGTGTGCATGCCGTCTTTGGGCAGAAATGTTCTTTGATTTTCTGTCGTGATGAAACGGGGCCTAGTCCGTGACTGAAGAGCACGCCTTCTTGTTGGGGACATCCCAGACCCGTGGGGACACGGGGCGATTTACCAACACGACTTGGGTGTCGTTAAGAGTTGGTTCGATGAGCAGCTTCTTCATCCATGACGGAGATTGCCATTGTCATCCCAGCTCAGAGGAGTTCCATCGTAAAAGCAACCGTTAAATCGGATAAACCCCTGGTAACATACATGCATAGTCACCCAACGTTTCAATGCAGGATCTTCCCGAAAGTCTTGATTCGGTGAAGCTTTCCGGCGATAAGACGTAACGTTTGAATTTGTGGTGATGTCAGAATTACTGAAAAATGCATTTGCCCTGAACGTCATTAACCCAAACACGTAGGCTTTCGCGACCAATATTATCCATAATAGAGGTTTTTTTTTGTGTTAGATCGCGTAAATGTAAATGTGTCGTTAAGACGCCACCACCCGACAAAGGTAATTAGTAAGGTTTGTCACGTGAACCAAACATGCCAATTCGTTACAGGTTCCCAGCACAGGAGGATTTCTCCACAACTCTGCCTGTCGCCTGATGAGACTGGTTGTACCTACCGGCAAAACGACGTGCTCGAATTGTAAATGTCGTAGATTTACTCTCCAAAACGCACCGCTGTGCTGTACTAGTAACGGATTGGCACGTTTTGTTTACATTTACAAGCCTTGCGAATTGGCCGTGTCGGGCGGTGACGCGTTTAACGACGCATTTGTATTCACGCGCTCCAACCCAAAATAAAACATCTGTGGTCATTAAATAATAAAATGAAGAATGTCCCCTCTGCGTGTCCCGCCTCTGCCAGATCCACTTCGATAACACGTGCAGCGCCTACAACAGGTTCATGGAGGGGAACGACGACTTTACTGACGAGGACCGCAAGATCAACAACAACCTCAGTGAGTGACGGCACTCGATTTCGATCTGGATTGATGACAAAATAATATTTCATTATTATTCTTGGTAATAAAATAATTATAATTTTTTTTGTTTCCCTTCTATGTGACTTTACCGAAAGAACCAAGAATATGAATCCCTGCAGTCACGAAGCTTTAAATCGAAATTTATTTTATTATTTTTTAAAATTGTATTTCAAACGCGAGCTCGGTACAGAGCACGAACCGCGGCGTGAGGAGGTGGGCACTGGAACTCCACGGGCAGACGTCCCAAACTCTATGCTGCTGGGTTTAGAGGAGGGGGAAAATGTAACTAAAACTGAACTAAACTGTTTTTACTTTACCAGGTAAGGCCCACTGAGCTATAAAGCCCTCTTTCAGAAGCGACCTGGCCACAAATGATAGCCCAACGGGAAGTGGCTTACGTGGAAATTTATAGAGGGGGAGGACCCGGCGAAAAATCCACGCGACTACGGGGAAAGAGACGTATACAGGCGTCAGGATCCCCATCGAACCCACGGCCTCCTGTATTCAGGCGAGGTAGTTAACATCTCGCCATTGTAGCGCCTCGGTGTGGACCGCGAGTCGGAGCATGTACTTTTATATGGGGAGGGGAATATAAGCGAGGAAGAACTAAAGTGAGGGTGGTTGATCTGGATTTTAATAAAAAAAATAGTTTATTCCAGCCCATATCTACAATTAAACTTTGTCGTCTGTAAAGCTGGAGGTGGAGAGGCAGTGGCCGGTGTGGGCGGGGAGGCTCGGTGAGCTCGGGAGGATCACGGCGACGGTTTGTGGTGATGCGCAGACTCCTCCAGAGTGACCTGGGTTCATGATGGCCATGTCAATGGGACTGAGTGACGCTTCACATCTGAGCTGCATTAGAAAGATGAGTCTTAAGCTTCTTAGGTCCTGGGTGGAGCCTGGCATCTTCACGGGCTTCTCTTTCGCCTCTGAAATGTCTGTGTGGTGCCTTCTATGGACGTTGTTTTTGTCTGGCCTCTGTACAATGTCTGTAGGGGTTTTTTTTCCGAATCGGTCTATTTTCACAATGTCTGCCTATATGATTCCTATTTTAGCTAAGAAGCAAACTCCCCCCTCTGAACAATAAGTAAAATGTTACGTAGTCAATTGGCCCATCAGCCTTCTGGACCAGTGTTATCCAGCAGTATTTGTGTAAGCAAGCAATATTAATGTGGAGAGAAGGATGGCGCGTTTTTCTCATTTATACTCGAGCCCATAGTGGTCCACAGCGCGGGATGTGTGTGTGTGTATACATGATTTCTCTTCGCCTGGTCATTGATAAGAGCTCTGCGCCCCCTGAACGTTATCTTAATAGCTGTGATCGACTGCTTTCTGTTGCCGGCCGGTGGTTGACGATGACGTGTGCTGCCTTTGCCACAAAAAGTATTTCGCGTGAATTCGCTCGGCTCGGCTCGGCGAAGCGCCCAGCCGACGTCGTTAATTTGCGCCGGTGTCTCGGACGGAATGCAGAGGAGCTGTACAAGGTCGACGAGGATCAGCAGAAGGCTTTGGAAGCCGAAAATGAGCGTCTGGAAGCGGAGCTCCAGTACCTCCTCATGGAGAAGGAGAAAGCCCCGGTTTGTGCCCTCGCGAGCCACCCCTTGATCCCGTGCGCACCCGTCCGATTCCACGGCGCCGTCCAGGATTGAGTCCACTGACATGTGGGGGGTCCTGTGAGGGCTGGGAGGGTGTGGCGACTTTATTGCTCGCGCACATTTTCGGCAAAAAAAACACAAACGCTCAATGCAACTGGTATCGGGACAAACATCCCTAACACTGATAATGTCCTGGGGTTGGTGGGGAGGTGGTGGTGGTGGGGGATGTATATCAAAAGTATATTTGAAAAAAGATTCCAGCTATTTACTCAATTGGGATTACATATAGCAGCATCGGCACCCGACTTGGACAAGACCTTCTTGATGAAGAGCCTTGAAAAAACTAAACTATGGTGCTGGTAATCCGGGTTGGTGGAGCACAGATGTCCTCGTGGGCTGCGAGTCCCCGAGCGTGTCTGGACTGTGATGTTTCTGGTGTTGATGGGGAAAGATGATGACGACGATGACAATGCTTGTGGTAGTGGTGGATGATGATCCTCGTGGTATTGGGGAACGGTACTGTAGTGCTTAGCGTGCTGCGCTATGAACCTAGCGACCCGAGGCTCGATTCCTGCTCACAGTTGACACCAATGACAATTATTTGAACCGGTCCTGGGACTCCCCTAAGTCGACTCGGCCTCAAATGAGTACCAAGTGCGGTGAGTAAACATTGCCACTAGGGAGACAGAGGCGGCCGGGCGTGTTGTTGGCCACCCACCTCCTCGTGTGTCATGTCGGCCTTCATAGGTGCTTGCTAACAGCACTTGCCCCGCCAGTCTGTTCCACCACAAAGATTCCCCAGGCTTCTGCGGCCGTCTGGAACGCTCTTCCTTCCGATTATTAGGAAGCCACTGTAGCTATGCACTTTTAAATCTAGATTTAAAACTAATTTCTACTTTAGTGTTTAGTCTTTTTGTCCTTCCCCCAGCACCTCCGATTTGGCACGGTTAGCTACGTACGGTGTGAAAGAAGTTCAACATACATGCGTGTTTATCTCCCCAGGATCGCCTTCAAGCTCTCAAGCTGGAGAAGTCGAAGCTGCTGCGTGTGGTGCTGCAGACCCAAAGCTACGTGTCGGACATGCAGGCTCACTGCCAGGTGCTAGACCAGAAGATTGCTCGGAGCAACCAGGAGATGGAAGACACCGGTAAATACCCCACGCCCGCGAGCACCTGGGTTTACACCCCTCGGCGATCGTTCTCTTGTCAGGGCCAGGTCGGCACTCGAGCGATTAACCCCGAAGCGCCGATGAGGCCTTGCTTGCGGCTTGGGTGTTCCACGTTTCGGGCTCGTAATGGCCATCAACCCCAACAGGACAGCAGCAGACTGATGCGCACATCTTCGTGAAAAGAAAATCACAGACGCAAGCTAAAGTAGTGCAATTGTGGCCATGCAACCCAAACTAAGGATCATGTAATAAACCACTGCAGTCTGTGCTCCTTCAATGGAGGAATAGCAAACGTACATGAACTGTCTGCTGAAGCCCTCTTCTGCCTATCAGACCTCAACATCGACGTTTAGCTCCTCAACATATTGACGTACGCACAGGGGCGGAGCCACAGGGGAGGCTGGGGGGGGGGGCTCGGCCCCCCCTGAAATTTTGGGGAAAGTCGGTAATCGGGATAACCGGATATCCGGCTGCTGCAAAATGCAGGCTGCCACCTCGTGCTGCCCTGCAGGCTGCTTGAGCGGCTGCCTTTCGAACTTATCGAACTTATTAGCCACATCAGCGGCTCCGACCTCCTTAATAAACTCCGCGTTCAAATCCAATAATTTGTTTTATACATTTGTGGCGCTCATTGGAAAACATAAACACTGGATATCTCAGAATATTGAAGTAGGCCCCCCCCAAAGTCAAAATCCTGGCTCTGTCCCTGCATACTCAAGAAGAGAGTGGCCATGTCAGGCTAATGAGCCACACCTCTTGGGATCTAGGTTTGAGCCACGATGCTGCTTATGGGTTTTTTTTTTCGAGGACAAGTGGCTCCCAAGCGAGCTAGACCTGCGGACCACTGCCCACCATGCACCATGGATTGCGCACTCATACTCGCAGTCCCTTCGGATTACACCCGTTGGGTTGCACTTCCTCATCGAGGAGGCTGCTCTTCTTCTCCTCCTTCTTTACTACAGTTACATGCTCATTTCTCACATTAACGTCATGCTAATCCCGCACATTAACATAGCCACTTCCGTGCCCTCGTTTAGGAGACCGCTCTCCTATCTTACAGTTACATGCTAATTTCTCACATTAACATCACTAGCCCCGGCCACTTACTGCCTCGGCAGCAGACCACGCTTTCCTGACGACGGACGGACTCTTCTGTTGCGCCCGAAACGTCGCGATTTATTTTATTTTATACCTATGTGACTTTACCGGAAGAACCAAAGAGTGTCATGTGAACCTATCGGCGGTACCCCGGGGTACCATAAAGCGGCTCTGTGTTTGTGGCTCGGCATCTTCGGAGCGTTGTGATGTTGCTCAAGGTGGCGATGTTACTGATGGTGCCGAAGGCAACGGTGGTGGGGTTGTTGTTGCAATGCTAACGTTGATAGACCGACCTGTGCCGTCGGTGACGTCATTGAGTGCGGCGCGCGTACGCTTGTTTGGCAGCGTCGGAGCTTTTGTCCACGAGGAAGGAGACCGAGAGGCTGGAGGAAATCTACGCCCGACAAGAGATGACTCCCGCCGACGTGCAGAGGCTGCGGTATGCACCACGAACACGTCCACAACCGCAGCCCCTCCCATACTGACTGCAACTAGAACCATGCAGTCTCCGCCACTCCTGCAGCCACATCTGGGTGACTGGGGCAGGACCTCTGATTTGCACGGTTGGCTACTTAGGGGCCATCCATTTAGTACGTACGCGTGGAGGGGGGAGGGGGGGGTTAACACAAATGCGTGCGATTGCGTATGGGGGGGGGTCTACTGACAATGTACGCATAGGAAACGGGGGGGGGGGGGTGGTGAAGCCTCTAATAATTTGCCTACATTGGCCTTCAAATGAGTTAGTCCGGCGGTGGACTATCCGTTTGCTTAAACACGTTAAATATTATTAATCCTTGATCGTTTCTGCGTGGATTAAATATCGGCCGTTCTATAGGAATCGGCGTGGGGGGTGCGTCAAGCATACGTACAGGGAGGGGGGGAGGGGTCAAGTTTTGACAGATTTTTGCATATGTACTCAATGGATGGCCCCTTGCAGTACGAAGGAAGTGCTGCATTCATACAGGACTAATTGAACCTTCGTGAGACTGGTGTCCTCTCAGCTCAATCTAACATCAGTCCACTAACCTCTGCTGATTTGGATCTGCATTCACGGCAATGACCCCAACCCCTCTGTTCTTTTCTGCTTTATTTACGATGGATGTTCGTGTTTATTAAAGAGAAGGCTTTTACCCACATGCCAAATCTCATTCTCACATTTAACTTGGTGTTGTTACCAGGTGCCTTTCCCTTCACCTTCCCCCCACACACGCATGTCGTTGTTATGCTACGGAGAGACTATAATGGGAGGCGACGAGAGCACGGACGGCGTGCTTTTTCATCGGTCTAAAGATCAAACCATTGCCGCATCGTTGACTCGCTAGATTTGAGAGCCACTAATTCTACTTGTGCACAAAATGATGGCAATTTGTTCCGGAGCTGAATGCCATTTGTCAAGGTTTGCTAGCCACCTAAGAGAGAGGGGGGCTTACGCTGACGGCAGGCGTGGCGACGGCGGTAGCCGGCATCGTGTGTGGGGCGACCTCGACGTCCTCCGTCCGTCCGGCTGCTAAGGCCGCAGGTCTGTGCGTCTGCAGGTGCGAGGAGAAAGAACTGCAGGCCATGCAGCGGACGATGGCGAAGGAATGTGAACACTCTGACAAGCAGTGCTGGGACATGGAGATGAGCCTCCACCGGATGCGGGAACGGGTACGAGGCGAGGAGACCCCTGTTTCAGCGACGACATCTTGAGATATACGGATTTTAAGGAGCGATTCGGCATGCATCGAGAGTAGGAGTTGGGTTTGTTGTGTGGGGAGTGGTAGTGCAGCGCTGTGCTACGAACCCAGCGACCCCGAGTTCGGTTCCCGGTTACGGCCAACACCAGCGACTAGTATCTGAACTGGTCTTTGGCCTCCCATAGGCCTTCGTAGGTGACTACTCGCTAACGGCACTTGCCCCAACAGTCTGTTAAGGCTCTAGGGTGTGTCTTTGTGCCCATACAGGTTGGGCAGCAGCACCTTATCTATCAGGATGTTGCTCGCAAACTGCAGCTCATGCCGGCCACATCAGAGAACGCGGGCGGGAAGGACTTGGACTTCAGTCTTCACTTCCACGAGCAGCCCGGGCAGGCCCAGCAGCATTTCCTCCAAGTCGTGAAGGTAAGAGGGGAGAGAGTGGAAGGAGTGGAGATAGAGGCAGGAGTGGAGATAGAGGCAGGAGGAGAGCAGGTATGAGAGGAGAGAGAGAGAGAGTGGATGCTGTGAAGATCGAGCAAGTGGAAGGATAGAAAGAGATTGTGTGTGTGTGTGTGTTTGCTAACAGCATTTTCCCCAACAGTCTGTTAAGGCTATACGGGGGATATTTGTCTCTGTGCGTATGTGTGTGTACACGCCTATGCGTGCGTTTGTGCATGTATGCGCACAGGTGCAAAATCGTTAGTACTCTGCTCTCAAAATTCGACAACCTGAGTTCGATTTCAAACCATGGCCATAGTGGCGAGTGCTATCTGAACCTCCCCTAGGTCGACTCGGCCTTAAATAAGTTCCTGGTGCAGTGTCAACATTAGCTCTGGAAATACAGTAAAACCTTGGATTGCGAGCATAATTCGTTTCGGAAACGTGTTTGTAATCCAAAGCACTCGTATATCAAAGCACTCGTACATCAGTTGTGATCACGTGACGCTCGGCAGTACAAAGCGTATACGTACTACTCGTATTGCAAGACCCTCGCTCGTTTATCAAATCAATATTTATTTAAAAATTTTGCTCGTCTTGTAAAACACTCGCAGACCAAGTTACTCGCAATCCAAGGTTTTACTCTATAAAGGTGGCCAGGCGTGATGCTGATAACACCACCGCCCCCTGGTGCGCCGTGCAGGCCTTACTGCGAACAGCACTTGCGGCAAGTGTTGAAGACTGCACGGGGAATCGGTGCCGTGCTTTATAGACCGCACCTTTGTGCCACGGAGGGCACGTCGTTCGTGAGGTGGTTTTACGTTATTTCATCCAAGTATTGGTTGCTGTTGGTAACATGCCCGTGGTGTTTGTCATCTCCCTTTGTCCGTTATCCCTTCCCTCGATCTCTCCCTTAGCCCATGATTACATCGCTCATCGGGAAAATTAAGAATCAAATCCAAACCTCGCAAAGCCAAATCGTGATGAAGAATATGGCTCTTGAGCAGGTAAGAGGGGCACGAACATGGCGGATAAATACCTTCGGTGGAGCCCTGTTTCGGAACTCGCATGCTGAAACAAGATCCGTTCTCAGGACCCTTGGGCAAAAATCACGTGTTTGTAGAAAGTTGATTGATATTTGGCAAAGGGGCTCTTTCTGCCACTGAAAATGTTGGCAATCGGCTTTTATGCAATAATAGGCATCGCTTGATCCTATCATTTCTTATTATCCCCTTTGTTTTAGGAGGATGAGGGAGAGCGTTTGCCCTTACGGCGGCAGGGTGTTTCGCCTGGCATGTAGGCGCGCGGTCTGTCCCAGCGGGTCTAGGTGCAGACCACCCGCGTGTCTTCCTGCCCCCACGTGTCTGGCACTGCTGCGGGATCGGTAGAAAGACGAGGCTGTGGATCCGCGGGCCCAGATTTGTGGCCTGTGCCTCTCAACCTCAGTCCACCCGGCCTCTGTAGCGGCCTCCCCCTTGGCACGCGCCGGGCGGAGTCCCGGCAGGAGGGCGGCAGAGTGAGCGTGCGGATGGGAATGATCGCCCCACGAGCTTCCGCAGCTGACAGAGTCCCAACTGACCGGTGGAGGGAGTTTGGGCATGGCCCGGCAGCCGGTGCGGATGGCGATGATGACAAAGAGAAGGCTGACAGGATGGAGCGAGGAGAGGGTTAAATGCAGGCTTAAGTAGTTGCACTGCTTCAGGCGGAGGGTTGGACACTCCGTGCGGTATAACACTCGCCCTAGGTTGTGTGCAGCTGATCGGCAGACTTTCTGGGAAGTGAGGAGGAGGCAGAGTTTCATACTCTCTCACGGACATGAGTAGTTGGGGGCGTCCTACCAAAAGACTCTGCACAGACTCTTGGTCATACAGAGAATGTACCTAATCAGTACTGACTGTGGCTACTACCACAGCCTACAGAAATCCATCATACTGCAACATTCATATTTTTTCTTTTCTGTAACTTAAAGCTTTTCTAAAAAAAAATAACAGCTCATTTGCGAAACTAGCAGTCTTCCCCGTGGGTCTCTTGTGCAGTAAGGGAAGTGAAGAATGAGGCTCGTGCGTGGGAGAGGGAAGCTGAAGGAGCTGTCGCCCACAGGTGCTGTCGCTCATCTCCGACCGGGAGAAAGACATCAAGAAGTTGGAGTTTCAGCTGCGCGTCCTGGAGGACAACCTCTCGCTGGAGACTGAGGTGCGACGGTGGTGCCGTGGGCTCACGAGTCGGCGCTCCGGTGCTTTGACGCCGAGTGTTTTCGAATATTTTGCTCGTTAGTTGTTTTTTTTTTCCTCCCCGCCAATATGCATTTAGTTGAATTTGCTTTGCCTTCCAGCTTTCTGATGTATATATTTTTTTTCAGCTGCTAAAACTTTAAGTGTTCTTATTTTCGCTTTTGTTGAGCAGAGATTTTACAAACGTCACCGATGTCCTGAGCGTGTCCGTCTCGCACTGCGCTGTTCATCTGTGGCGGATGAGCCAGCGTCCACGCTCGCGCAAGTGGGTGTGCGTGCACGGGCGCCGGTGTGCGTGCACGCACATGAACGTCATAGTAGCAAGCGGCATGAGGGAAACAAAGGCGGCCAAGAGTGGCGACCGTCACTGTTCTGGCCTCTAAAAATACCAACCCCTAGAGTTGACTGAGCCTGCGTTTGTATCTTTGTGCGTGTGTGTCTCGGACACAAACGGGTGACCACCTCACCGCCACTTCGTGTCGAATGGCGGTTGTTGTCTTTGCGTGTGCGTGGAGCGAAAAGCGTAGCGGTTGACGCACTATGCTCCGAACCTGGCGACCCGAGTTCAATTCTTGCCCGCAGTAAATACCGGTTACTATTATCTGAACCGGTCCTGGGCCTTCCCTAGATCGACTCGGCACCGGGGAGACAAAGGTTGCCAGGCGTGTGGTGTTGGCTGCCACCCACCCCCTCGTGTACCACGCCGGCCTTCAAAGATGCCCGCGAAACAGCACTTGCCCTAAAAATTCCGTTCAAGGCTATGCACGGGTGGGCGGGGGCGGGCGATCTTTGTCTTTGTGTGCGATTGCAGGCGTTTGAACGCGAGGAGCGACGCCACCGACAGGAGATCGAGGATCTCGCCCAGTCCCACTCGGATATCCAGAAACACGTGGACGACGGGGTCCAGGAGGCAATGGACGAGTGCAAGAAGCTGGAGGCTATGTGAGGACACGCGGGCAGAGCCGATGGGCAGCACCGGTTCTAGCCCTCGCTGAGGTGGCACAGCACTGAGTGGGCTAGAGCAAGGACACGTGTGTGTGTGTGTGTGGTGTGTGTGATTGTGCACGCTCCGTGTGTGTGTGTGTGTGGAGCGGTAGGGCAGTGGTTAGCGCACTACGCTACGAACCAGATGACCAACAATTCGATTCACGCTCGCAACGAATTGAACCGGTCCTGGGCATCCCCCAAGGTTTTCCTCAGCTTTAAATGAGTACCCTGGTGCAATGTGTAAACATGACTACTGGGGAGACGAAGGTGGCCGGGCATGGGCGCTGGCCACACACCCCCTCGTGTACCGTGCAAGCCTTAATAGGTGCTCGCTAAGAGTTTTTTTTTAAGGCTATACGGAGGATCCTCGTGTCTTTGCGTGCGTGCGCAGTGGAAAGGAGAATATGAAGCAGATGGAGATCCAGCGGCATGCGAGCCACGTGCTCCTGGGAGACGCGACGCTCGCCATCTACAAGCACTTCACCTTCTTCGAGGTGCGGCCACCACAGCACCTCGTGCCGCCCTGCGGGCCCGGTCTTGTCGTCCAGTCCCTGGTGTTTGTAAAAAAAAATTTGTTTTGTGCCGATTTTTGTTTGGTCGTTTTTTGTCCTGCTGTTGCGTTGAGCTTTAATTTGCCTTCCTCCACACTCCTTGGTTCTTTCGGTAAAGTCACGTAGGTATAAAATAAATCGCGAAGTTTCGTTTTAAAACAGTCTGCCTCAGCAGCAGACCATGCTTTCCCACCTTGATGACGGACGCTGGTGTTGCGCCCGAAACTTCGCGATTTATTTTATACCTACGTGACTTTTTCCGAAAGAACCAAAGAGTGTGGATTCCTGCAGTCACGAAAGCTTCAAATCAAGAATGCCTTCCTCCAGTTTAGCTGAGATCTGTAGACCACGTTTTCCACGGTGGCGAGATGTTTTATATTAAACTAATTTGTATGAAACTGCTTTTTTGGGTTTAGTTTGTTGTCCGTTCCCCCACACCTCCCGGTCAGCACGGTTGGCTACGTAGGTGCGGAATAATTTCAACGTACATACATATGTGTTAACTCCCTCGCCTTGTGATGGAGGAGGTTGTGGGCTCGATCCCGACCCTGACGCCTGTATATTTTTAGCCTGCATGTCTCTCTCCCCGTGGTCGCGTGGATCTTTCTCCGGGTCCTCTGGTTTTTCCCTCCACATTTTTAAAAACATGCGTTTCCAGTATTTGCCTGCTATAAATTCCCACATGATGGGCCATTTCGTTGAAGCTATCATTTGTGGCCAGGTCGCTTCTGAGAAATAGCTATAGAGCTCAGTGGGCCTTACCTGGTAAAATAAAAAGTTTAGTTTGATGGAACATGTATGCATATACAGTGTATGTCTTGAAAAATAGGTCACATTGTTTTAAAAATGTCTGATCGTGCAAGTTAACCTTTAATGACCTTCCTATATTCACAAAGTCAAAGTGTAAGTCAAGAGGCTTTCATGGCCACCGGTATTAATGCCACCAAGCGTCTTCCCCACGACTCTTGCACACCTGGCACCCAACCTGCAACGCGTGGTCACGCTGATACGCCCTCAAAGGTTATCCCCGACAGCCTTCCACTGCGCTAGCTTGTCGCCTCCGACATCCAACATCCGAGTGCCATTTGCTCCCTCTTGACAACCTGTCCTCCATCGTGCACACACGCGCCCCACCCATCGCGGCCTCGTCTCGCACAGGACAATCACGGTCGGTGGCTATGCAATTACAGAAACTATTTTTTCTTCAGCTCAGGAGGTATGATGATGGTTATGTGCCACTCTCTTTTGAAGCAAGGAAATGATGAATGACAGTGATAAATCAACACCTAACTGCAGTTTTGAACTTGAAATATTCCCGGTCTGGAGTCACAGTTTAAAAAGACAAATATCCCTGTATAGCCCGAACAGAATGTTGGGGCCAGCACTCCTAGTGAGCACTAAGGAAGGGCTGGCATGGCACACGAAGGGTTGGTGGCTAGCACCAAGCCCGGCTGCCTTTGTCTCCCTCGTGGTGTACGTATGTTGAACTACTTTCGCATCGTACGTAGCCAACCGTGCTATTCTGAGGCCTGGGAATGGTGATGTTTACACATCGAGGCTGTCGATCTCAGGGATGCCCAGGACTGGTTCAGGTAATCGTCACTGATGTTGGCCATGAACGAGAATAGGACTTGGGTAGCGGGGTTCATAGTGCAGCGTGCTAACCGCTACACTGACACTTTCCACACTCTCTACACAGTGCCGCACACTCATTACACATACACAGAACGGTTCCGTCATTGTCCTAAAGCTTTGGAAAATGTTGCAATTGAGTTAATCTGGCGTGACGGAGCCCTTTCAGGAGCAGGTCGGGCAGGCAGGAACGCAATTGTGGTGGAATGCACTTGCATTGTGTACAAATTGCACAATTATGCCCACCCCCCACTTATGTCCCACTCCCTGACCCTTACCGACCGTGGTCTCGAATCAAACATAACACAATGACTCCATCAGTCTCGAGGTCTGCTGCCTATCCATTAAAACCCGGGTCACCCCGTCTCACTCTCCACGTGGTTGCAGAACTTGATGGAAGACTTCAAGCAGCGCGTGCAGGCGGAATACGAAACGGAATGCGCCGCCCACCCGCTCGCCAAGGTCCTTCGACTCACCCCGGCGGAGCAAGAGATGATGGCCATTATGAGCATGCAGGCTGGCGGGCTGCAGGATGGGGAGGGGCAGCAGGAGGAGGGCACTGCCTACGATGGGAACAGAGAGTGAGGTGGGATGGGAGTGGTAATACAAGCATTGGCATGGCGGCAATGCAGATGTGTGTGTGTGTGCTTTGACCTTTGTTTAATTGTCTCTTTCATTGTCTCAAAACGGTCTCCTCTTGTAAACCTTGTTCTTGCTGTTGTTCTCAATGTGCCTTGCAATCTCTGCCTCATCTGTTACAAGTGTATTTTAAGCATTTCTTCTAACAGTTGACCCAATTGCAAGTGCAGATTGTCTTGTTTAAAACGTTGTAATGTGGCAATTGAAACCACTTTTTTCTGAAATCCTGCAATGATCCTCCTGGACATCTGAAAAAGAGCTTGATAGCTCATCGCATTCCTCCAGTAAAAAAAAACACACATTCCTGCGGAGGGAGCTGGCAGGAACGTTGGGTTGCTCGGTCAATGGCCAGGGTCAACGGCGGCACCACGTGGTGTATTCAGCACAATATGCCCGACTGTGAGGGCGGGCACAAGCTGGCGTGAGTAGGTTAAACGTTGAGTTTTATAAGGGCACCACGGGGTGACCAGCCCCTCCCAGCCCCACTCCTCCCACCCCCCACCCAGCCCCACCCCTCACCCTCCCCACCCAGCCCCTCCCCACCGTCCCCTCCACCCAGCCCCACCCCTCCCATTTTTGTATGCACGACGGACAGACGGACACAATAATCCCCTGTGGGCTGGTGTAACCAGGAGGTTCCTACCAGTATTATTCTGGTTCTGAATGCACGGGCACTGCATTTCACACTTCAACCTGTTTTCCCATTGCCATGGTGCCATTTGTGATGACGGCATATCCTGTATAAATGTACATGCTTAGAAAGTTGTCCATTCCGGTTGTGGAAAACTTTTTGAAACTTTGCAATGGTGGCTTTTTGTAGCCTTTTCATACGTTTAAGAGTTAAGCAGAGCAAAAATTCTAAAGTTGTGTTGCTTTTTTCTGTCTCTCTCTCTCTCTCTGTGCTTCTGAATTTCACATCGGGCCGTAATGATGAGTTGGACGAACTTAAAACACGCACGCGCCCGAGCGTGCCACTCGTCAACTCGCGCGTGTGGTTTTTCTCGGCGATGATAGTTGGTTTCCAAGCACCTCGAAATCGTCCAACCCTCGCTGCTTCCACAAACTAGCACACGCGCTTCCATTGCCCGTCTTATCTTGTTACGGATGAAAATGGAGTAGAGTGATACATTAACTGGTGTATAATTTTAAAGTATTGAACATTCATAAAGGTAATAAATTTTGATTTAAAGCTTTCGTGACTGCAGTGGTTCATATTATTGGTTCTTTCGGTAAAGTCGCGTAGAAGGGAAACAAGAAAATAATAAATGAAACAATAAAAATTCTCACGACGTTTCGACTGCAACACAAGCAATCATCATCGGGTGTGAAAACCACAGCAAGATTTTTTTTTTAAGTTGAAAACAGGTGAGCTGTAGTTCTGCTGCTTCAGGGGATACGTGTTTTGTCCAAGACGGTGTGGAAGCTTCAGGGGATACGAGGGTGGGGCGGACACGGTTTTACCCGAACCAGCAAATACGTTGTAAAGTCAACGTTACAATAACAGCAGATATGATTAGACATAAGAAAACTCAACATGTTCGTCAATAACTCTGACATCCCTCAAAGACACTGGTGGAACCATCGGAACATCAACAGCAGGCTGATGAGTACATCTTCGTGAATGGGAAAGATTGAAGACGGGCCGCAGTAGTTCCATTGTGCGTTTGCACCATTGCCAACGCAGCAGCACCGATTTATTAAAATGTTCATTGGAAGTGGGAATGTTCGTGTTGGCTGCAATTCACGTTTCCGCATGGCATGAGCAGACACACCTCCAGTCGTACGTGCAAAGAGGTTACGACTCCTGAATGTGGCCTCGTAAGGAAATGATCTGCTGGGAGCTCCCCCCGGTCAAGTGCAATGTTTATTGAAACGAAGTAAAATCTCAGGAATTTACAGGGTCGCTGGAGGTGAAAGTCGAGGTGATGGATCCGTGAAAGGGCGGGTGATGCTGTCAGGGGACGTTGAGTGTGGGTTGCGGCGACGCGCATCGCCCCGTGCTTTTAATGAATTGACGTATTGCAAAGCGACGTAAGAAGGTGGAGATGTAAGTCGGCGTTTTACTGTGTTTAGGGTAGGTTGGCTTATGTTAAGCGCAGGGGTGGAGCCAGGATTTTGACTTTGGGGGGTGCCGACTTCAATATTCTGAGATATCCAGTGTAATGTTTTCCAATGGGCGCCACAAATGTATAAAACAAATTTTATTGGATTTGAACGCGCAGTTTATTAATAGGTCGGAGCCGCTGATGTGGCTAATTAGTTAGATAAGTTCGAAAGGCTGCCGCTCAAGCAGCCTGCAGGGCAGCACACAAGGTGGCAGCCTGCAGGGCAGCACACAAGGTGGCAGCCTGCAGGGCAGCACACAAGGTGGCAGCCTGCAGGGCAGCACACAAGGTGGCAGCCTGCAGGGCAGCACACAAGGTGGCAGCCTGCAGGGCAGCACACAAGGTGGCAGCACGAGGTGGCAGCCTGCAGGGCAGCACACGAGGTGGCAGCCTGCAGGGCAGCACACGAGGTGGCAGCCTGCAGGGCAGCACACGAGGTGGCAGCCTGCAGGGCAGCACACGAGGTGGCAGCCTGCAGGGCAGCACACGAGGTGGCAGCCTGCAGGGCAGCACACGAGGTGGCAGCCTGCAGGGCAGCACACGAGGTGGCAGCCTGCAGGGCAGCACACGAGGTGGCAGCCTGCAGGGCAGCACACGAGGTGGCAGCCTGCAGGGCAGCACACGAGGTGGCAGCCTGCAGGGCAGCACACAAGGTGGCAGCCTGCAGCATTTTGCAGCAGCCGCATATCCGGTTATCCCGATAACTAACTTTCCCAAAATTTCAGGGGGGGGGGGGCTAGGCCCCCCCAGCCCCCCCCCCTGTGGCTCCGCCCCTGGTTAAGTGAACTGCAGTTGAACGTTTCAACTATCAATGTTCATTGGTATTGAAAGTTGCAGCGTAGCCACGCGCACGGAAAAAAAACAATCCATTAAAATGTGAAATAAAGTTTGGGAAACCCATCGTGATATTCGTAATATCGCATCGTGGAAAATTATATCGGAGCTTTAAACACGGGAGGATACTGGGTGCGTGGTGTCACACCTCCGATTAAACACGGTTGGCTACGTACGGTGCGAAAGAAGTTATTACGTATACACAGTCTACAGATAAGGGACATGGGAACACGGAGAGACAGGCACTGGCTAAAAGTACCCCCCCCCCCCCCCCCCCATACAGTGTCGGTGATGTGTTTATTTCTACCAAGGTTAAAAGGTGTGGAACTTAAGATGCGGGATATCCAGCGGTCGAGCACAACAACGACTTTGGCTGCACGCGGCTTGTTCCTGCCCCACAACAGACGGCCTACAGAGATGGATGTCACACCTTTAGCACCTGGTGCTGCACGGTGGCTGGTGGCAGCTCATTCCCAGAACTATCCAGGCTCGGACCTGCTGAGCTTCACGAGATGGCACGCGATGGGGCGCATGCCAAGTGCTTGGGTCGTGAGCGCAGAAGGGGGCGGGGGGTCCTGGCTAAATAAGGGACATTGCTGTGACTGTTGTTGCCATGACTGACTTTGTGGTCAAGGCTAGGGTGAGGGCGTGGCGGCTGTCCTCGTGGCCACTCCCCCGAACTGATGTTGCGGGTTGTAGTTCCCGCACTCATCAAAGGGAGCAAACCCCCCCCCCCCAGGCACTGCCACTGAATTCCAACGTTTGAGGAGGAGGGGGGGGCGGTGGTGGTGGAGGGACGGAGTGGAGGATGGTAAATGGAGGGATGTGGGTGGGTGGAGGATGGATGGGAGGGCGATGTAGAATGACGTTGGGGTGGGGGAAGGGGGATGGAGGGTAGGAGAGGATGAGGGTGGTGGATGGAGTGGAGGAGGTGGTGAGAGATGGAGGGGTGGAGGATGGAGGGTGGTGGTGAGGGAGTGGAGGAGGGGGTGGTGAGGGAGAGGGTGGTGGGGGGTGGATGGAGTGGAGGAGGTGGTGAGGGAGGTGGAGGGTGGTGGAGGGTAGTGGTGAGGGAGTGGAGGGGGTGGTGAGGGAGGTGGAGGGGGTGGTGAGGGAGTGGAGGGGGTGGTGAGGGGGGTGGAGGGTGGTGGTGAGGGAGGTGGAGGAGGTGGTGAGGTGGAGGGTGGTGGTGAGGGAGGTCGGGGGAGTGGAGGAGGTGGAGGGTAGTGGTGAGGGGGTGGAGGGGGTGGTGAGGGAGTGGAGGGGGTGGTGAGGTGGAGGGTGGTGGTGAGGGAGGTAGGGGGTGGAGGAGGTGATGGGGGAGTGGAGGGGGTGGTGAGGGTGTGGAGGGGGTGGTGAGGGGGGTGGATGGTGGTGGTGAGGGAGGTGGAGGGGGTGGTGAGGGAGTGGAGGGGGTGGTGGGAGGTGGAGGATGGAGGGGGGGGGGTGGTGGGGGGGTGGTGGGGGGGTGGTGGGTGGGGCCGGTGACGTCAATGAACGCCACCAGTGGGGCGCGCCTAGGAGCACATTCTTGCGCTGATCCAGGTGTCCGACGCACAGCCACACGGCTGGGTTTGACTCCGGGAAGAAGCTCATCCGACGGGTAAGGCTCTCGTCTGTCTGTCTGCCTGTGTGGGGGAAACGGGAGATTTAGTTCTGTCGTGGCCATGCGAACCAAACTACTGCGCTTGTAAAGCCACCGTGGTCTGAGCTCATTCAAAGGAGCTGCGGAAACGGCAAAAAAAAACCGACACCAACTCTCTCGTATGTGCCCGTGCACGCTTGCACGTCGAACCTCTGTCGCACCGTACGTAGCCGACCGTGGCAATCGGAGGTGCCGGGGGAAAGGACGTTCGAAAGAAACGAGTTTGTCAATCTCGATGATGATGATGATGATTTTAAAGTGGCATCACGGCTTCCCGTGGGTTTTCTAATATCGCAAGGGAAGAGCGTTCCAGACGGCCGCCGGAAGCGCGTCTGAAAGCGGCGCGCGATGACGCCCTGCGAGGATGACCGATCGGAGTTCGCGTGATGATGATGATGATGGAGGTTTACGCACCTTGGCTAGATCGGCCGAGGTGCTGTGGGTTTCATTTGTTGCAGGCACTTTGTGTGTGTGTGTGTGCGCGTGCTTGTGTATATAATGAGCGCGACCATGTCAACGCGTTCGTTCGGCAACCAGAAGCCACACGGTCTCGGATATTGCCGTAGACCCCCAAACCCCCCCCCCCCCCCAACCCAGAGTGCTGTGTAAAACGCGCTTCAGACGCATCGGTCACGGGGTTTTGTTGACTACTTCAGAGAGCGCGACTCCAGAGCTCGGCGATAACGCATCGCTTCGCGACGACATCGAGCACACGATGATAACACGTGGAAAGCGCGATATAACCGCTCTATATACGCAGGGGCCCATGGTAACCCAATGGGGCTCTCTGTAATGCATGAATGGATTAGTTATAACTTATGGAACTATAGTAATGTATGTATGTATGTTGTGAACTCATTGCGCATGGTACGTGGCCAACGGCACTAATGTGAGACGCGGGGTGTACCTCTAATGTACAAGCACCCGTGCTGACGCAAGGTAACGTATGGACCTATGATAATGCACAGACACCCGTAGTAAGGGGCCTTCCATAAATGACGTCACGCGATTTTGGACGATTTTTGATCCCTCCCCCCTCGCCACACGGCGTCACAATAAGTCAGACTCCCCCCACCCCCTCAAATATGACGTCACAAAGCTCTGCCCCCCCCCCAAAAAAACCTATAGTGGAACGTGTTGTCTATATTTATATAAAGTTGCGAATTTTGATGTGACGTCACATTTCTCAACCCCCCCCCTCCTCCTCCTCGTCACACATCGTCACGAATGTCTTACCCCCCCTCCACTCCCCCTAGGTGCGTGACGTCATTTATGGACGGGCCCTAACGCGTGTGTCCATGATAACGCACGATGACATGCACAATGTGTCGTGTGTGTCCCTGGCATGGACTCATGATAACAGTCGTTCTGCAAAGAGATGTGGCCATTTGTGGCGTTCGAGCGACGTTGTTTCTGCACCGATTGCCGCATTTAATTTGCGCTCGGCATTTTCGGTGAACCCCCCCCCTCCCCAAACCACGCTCGCCAATGAGACTCGCCGCATGGCGTCTTAGAGCCTTCACGTGGCGAAACAACAAAACACGTTCGCTTTGATTTGCAGAGCGAGCTTGCGTACGGGAGGGCTGAGGTCGCGGCGTCGTGTGGCCCCAAAGTTCAGTCACGAGCTGCCACCCGTTGGGAATCGTTTAAATAATCTCCGCACGTTTCGTCGACATCGTCGCATCCGCACGCTCCTGGCTCTGACGCTCCTCCTCCTCCTCGATGGCACTGCCGGGAGCCATCGACCGCATCGGAACATCGTCAAGCCGGACCGAATGCTGCTCCACATCGCCTTCATGAATGGGGGGCAATTAAGGGCGCAGTACGCAGCGCGATTGTGAACATGCCACCCGAACTCTTGGACCGTAGTGTAAACCCGCAGGTGTGTACAGTATAGAGATAGCGTGAGACAGACTCGGAGAGCCACAGAGACCCATGGAGACACAGAGGTGCTCCGAGATGCATACTCATAGAGATACATCGAGACCCGCAGAGATTCATGGAGATACATTGGGGTTCATGGAGGGCCATAGAGATCCACAGAGATGCATTAAAGACAGGCCACAGCAGAGCAAACGGTGGCCATGCAACGCAAAACTACGTGCCATAGCAGTAAACCCTCTGGGTTCTGCGCTCTTTCAAAGGAGGAGGAAGATCAAAACGACACGAACTTTGAGCTCGATTAGAAGCCTTCGTGACTGCAGGAATTACTTTCGGTAAAGTCAAACTTTCGATTTTCGTGCTCTAAACCAGGGGTGGGGAACCTTTTTTTTTCCGGCAAGGGCCATGTGGATATTTATGTAACATCATTCGCGGGCCATACAAAATTATCAACTTATATTTGGTCAAACGTTTGTATGTGATGGGCTGGACCTGCTTCTCTTTGGCGAGGCGTGGTGACGATGTTAGCCGGTGTTGACGATGTTGTTGCTACTCGCAACTGCTTCTCCAGGTTTTGCTCCTAGATTTGTTGAGTTTCGAGTCCCGCCTGCGGTTGCCTTGGCAGGGCCAGAGACCAAATGAATTCGGACGTTCCCCACCCCTGATTTAAGAGGCTTCGGCACAGATTCGATTGTCCTTCTGTTTGTCTTGGTGTGTGTCTCGCTCGGTGTGTCTTTGTGCGTGTGTCTCTCTCTCTGCACGTGTGTGTCTTGCCTATGTTGTTTACGTGTCTGTGTTTTATCATTCATTCGTACCTGATGACGGTTGCTTGCGTGACAATCGAAACGTCGTATTCTATCATTATTTGATTTTATTTTCCACGCCACTTTACCGAAAGAACCAAAGAGTGACACTCGCCGTGGCCAGCAGCAGACCTCGACATTGGCATTTAGCTCCTGAACAATATTGCCTTGCGCAAAGAAGTAGAATTTAGAATTGGGGCCGTCCATAAATTACGTGACGCACCTGGGGGGGGGGGGGGGGGGGTCAGACATTTGTGACGATGTGTGACGATGGGGGGGGTTGAGAAATGTGACGTCACATCATAATGCGCAACTTTAACAAACACGTTCTACTTAATTAAATAGACTTTTTAAATGTTTTCTCCTACAACATCAGAGTGCAGCGCCGCATTAAATACGCACTACAATGACAATAGTATAAAGCGATTTGAAGCATGTTTTATATATATATATATATTTTTTGGGGGGGGGGGCAGAGCTTTGTGACGTAATATTTGAGGGGGGGTCTGACTTTTTATGACGCCGTGTGACGAAGGGGGGGGGCGGGTCAAAAATCGTCCAAAATCGCGTGACGTCATTTATGGACGGCCCCATATCACAGCGTTAAAAAATATATATATATAATAAGTGACGTTTCGGGCAATGCTCCTTTTTCACACGACCTCTGTGCCCTCTGCTATGCGCTGTGAAGAAGGACGCTCGGTCCAACAACGGTTTACAGGTAGAGGCGCAGCCCTGCAAGTGCTCGCTCACGCCACTGCTGACGGAAGGGACTCCCAAGTCGAGGGAGCTCTCTGGGGATGTATTTGGTCTACTTGTCCACAGCTGTACCCGCCCTCTCACCGTACACAAACTAACCGATCAACAAACGAGTTTTCGCTACTGTTCTCTGCTCCACAAGTCTATCGTCTCCCGCCTTGACCAATCCGAACTGACCAGCGTGGTGAAGTATGGTCAAGCAGCAACCAGCTGTGCGTTTGGGGGCGTGCGGGAGGCCCCTCATCCAGCAGTGGATTGACAACATGCTGCAAAGACAAAGATCTCCCGTATAGCCTTCAACAGACCGTTGGAGCAAGTGCCTATAAGATGGTGCACACAATCTCACACCCACGTAACAAAGACTGCACACTGCAGTATAATAAATACCGGTAGGCAGACGTGCAAACTGATCCCTGCAGACGCTGTACACATCGATGACCCATTAGGGGTGTATTACTTAGGAATTCAGGGTTGTTGTTGCATAGCAACTCAGGGTGCTGTTGCTTAGCAACTCATGGTGCTGTTGTTTAGCAAATCAGGGTGCTGTTGCTTAGCAACTCAGGGTACTGTTGTTTAGCAACTCAGGATTGTGTTGCTTAGCAACTCAGGGTGCTGTTGTTTATAAACTCAGGGTTGTGTTGCTTAGCAACTCGTGGTGCTGTTGTTTATAAACTCAGGGTGCTGTTGCTTAGCAACTCATGGTGATGTTGCTTAGCAACTCATGGTGCTGTTGCTTAGCAACTCAGGGTACTGTTGTTTAGCAACTCAGGATTGTATTGCTTAGCAATTCAGGGTGCTGTTGTTTATAAACGCAGTGTTGTTGCTTAGCAACTCGTGGTGCTGTTGCTTAGCAACTCAGGGTGCTGTTGCTTAGCAACTCAGGGTGCTGTTATTTAGCAATTCAGGGTTGTTGTTGCTTAGCAACTCAGGGTACTGTTGTTTAGAAACCCAGGGTACTGTTGCTTAGCAACTCAGGGTGCTGTTGTTTATAAACTCAGGGTTATGTTGCTTAGCAACTCGTGGTGCTGTTGCTTAGCAACTCATAGTGCTGTTGCTTAGCAACTCATGGTGCTGTTGCTTAGCAACTCAGGGTACTGTTGTTTAGCAACTCAGGATTGTATTGCTTAGCAACTCAGGGTGCTGTTGATTATAAACTCAGGGTTGTGTTGCCTAGCAACTCGTGGTGCTGTTGCTTAGCAACTCAGAGTGCTGTTTTTTAGAAACTGAGAGTTGTGTTGCTTAGCAACTCAGGGTGCTGTTGCTTAGCAACTCAGGGTACTGTTGTTTAGCAACTCAGGATTGTATTGCTTAGCAACTCAGGGTGCTGTTGTTTATAAACGCAGTGTTGTGTTGCTTAGCAACTCGTGGTGCTGTTGCTTAGCAACTCAGGGTGCTGTTGCTTAGCAACTCAGGGTGCTGCTATTTAGCAATTCAGGGTGTGTTGCTTAGCAACTCAGGGTGCTGTTGTTTAGAAACTCAGGGTACTGTTGCTTAGCAACTCATGGTGCTGTTGCT